AGATTGGATTTGGCTCGAACAACCTTGGTTCGAACAGACTTGGCTTCTCGTTGCAGATGTTATCGATACATAAGTTCCAGATGAGACAGAGTACGTTGCCATCCGCTGGATATGGCTCCACTGCTGGCTGAAGCTTATTTGTTGGCAAATGCTGCATGGGAAGAATAAGTCTCATCACCAGCGAGATACTAGGCGATGGTGTCAATAGCGGAAGCATTGACCTCGTCAAGAGAAGCCTTTGATAAGAAGAAACAAGGCAGGGTTGTTGGCGTTGTTGATAGTCATAATGATGATGATGTTGGTGGTGGTTGTGCTTGAAACATCTTTTGGATGCTTGCGTGAATGAATCAATTGGGAGCTTCTTCTTGAAGGTCCGATTTTGTCTCTGAACGATAATTATGAAAGGAAAACATTGTCCTGCAAGTTTGGAGTAAAAGGACCAATGATGTTACCGCCGACTAATTGAATCTATTAGATGATGTCGATGTGTCATTATCGCACTCTTGCAGTGCGATGGTACATCTGTGGTATACTCGCACCGGTACCGTATTTCGATCTCTGAAAACCAGCGCGACGTCTGGCCGGCTAACGGAGATATTGACTCGGGTAAGTCAAAATCTGGTGACTACAGGCTACTGCCCTTACCGTACGTGTACTGTACGTGTACTGTACGTGGACGTGGACGTGGACTGGCATTAAAATTCTATGAGGTCCCAATTTTTGGTCCCGATTTTTGGAGAAGATCTCAACGGACTTTCTTTACTTGACACCAGCTGGCTGAGTTCGATGAGCCGGTCTCGTTTGTTTGCGCCTGACCAGAAGCCTGAAAAGTGATAATTTGATCCCGAAAAAAGCAACTGTATAGTCCAACGTAGACCGCAGGCACACTGTTCGATTTCTTTGACTACATTGTGTTACAGACGGACAAAGGCCGAACGGCCTTCGACCGTCAAAAGTTGTTGTCGATGCGCCCAGGCAATGATGCCCAGTTTATCGACTGAGATTGAATTCACCCACTTGTGTCGCGGTAATTCAATCAGTTCGACCCGCTTCACACCACAACCCACCAGCTACACACCAAGACAAAATACTACGAACACACACACGGAGGACGGCAGTAGGCTATCTTAGATAGCACATTATTGATTCGATAGATTTCCAGAAAACCAGACCGCTGGAGTATTGTTGGCCAGTTGTGGCATTATGACTGTTTCGGCAAGATGGGACGAAACGCGAAGCACTCATCGTCCTAGGTCACACGTATAGGTTGACTTCTCCAATGATCAAATGCAAAAATTCGTATGGTTCCAGCTCACCACAATAACAAACGACAAACAGTAGAAGAGCAAGAAAAAGATGACCTGCCGTAACCCGTTCGATGGCTCCTCAACTGCAGCACACCCGCGCAAGTACAAACTTCCACCATTCTTGCCACCATCTTGTTTGTCTCTTCGAGGCGCTTCGAACAAAACGAGTGCGATCAGCAGAGCCCTTGCCATTGTTGCTGACGACAACAATGGTGTAAAAAATGACGACGGCACTCCTACCAACGGTCGTCCCTCTTCCAATAATCTTGGCGGTGGTGAAAGAAGGGCCAAGTAATGCCCTGAGCAGCATGCACCAATTAGAATGCAAACATTTTGAAGGTTAGTCGACTGATCTATTGATTGATTCATTCAGAACTGCCATCGCGATATACAAGGTGTCTGGTTGATCTTCTTGGATCTGATATTAGCATCTCTAACTATGACTAGTATATAATAATAAGACAATATGGAACGCTTCACGCATTATGTGCACAGCAATTGTATTTTAGGAACTTCTTGCCTTTGAAACTGTTGGCCTTTGAAATCGAATCAGAACACCGTCCTTTGCAACCTGTCTTCTTTGAGGAACTTGCTTCTTCCTCCTGCCTTGCTGAAATCATGAGCACGCCGTCTTCAGCAATTGCCTCTTGCCTTTTGCAATTTTCTCCTGTTATCTTCGCACCGAAAAGAACCGAGATTCCGAATAGATACGATGTTTATTATTATACTAGCGGTAACATAAAAAAGAAGTCAAATGAAATTGAGCTAATAATTAATCCTACTTTGCAGCAGGAGGGGCTGATTGTTTGGCAAAGGGGCGGTGCCGTCACAGATCCAAAGAATGAATCATAATCATCAGTCAAGGTGCGATTGACGATGGATTTTTTTAGTGAATCACTCCAATGGAAGGGGGGTTTTCATGGACTGGGCGGACAAATAAAGGTGACCGTGCTATTGAATATGAGATCGACCATGCTGTGGTGCACGTGTACGATTGCTAGAGTCCGTAAGTAGTAAGGACAAATCGGCCTCCAGGGAAGCACGTCGATCTGACGATGGTAACACTCTTTTTAAGAATACGTTTGATTACAATACTGTCTACCGTCTATCATAGCTACTACTTCGCAAGACAACAACATCGTAACGCAGTGACGATAATATTTATATGGTTTATCAAGACCCATGAACTACGCTAGCGAAAAATGAATGCTACCACACGAAAAGCACCAAAATGAAACCAAGGTGACCGCCAATAGCTGACAGCTTATAAAATAACACTGGTATTGACCCTTGAAAGCCATGTGTGATCACAGAGGAGTCGATTTTTAAGGTTCAATACAAGCCTTGAATACTGGAAACGAATGAAGACAGGAAACAAATGAAGACATCAACACCATTCCATTGATTGACGACGAGATTGCAACAATTGAAACGTCAATACTGGACGCCTTCGAAGACACCAATAAGAGGAATTAGAGAAACGAATGAAGATGTCAATACTATTGATTGATAACGAAGTGGTGACGATTGAAACGTCAACAATGTACACTTTTGAGAGTTCGCCCTGGGTTACATACGGAGATTGGTATGGAACGCTGAACTCGTTTGATTTAACAACTCAGAGAGCGCCTCAATTCTAATTGTTGAGCAAACCAGTGATGGGAAATGGCGTCGCCAGATTGGCCCGATGAACGACTATTTTGATGAGAAAACTATGCATATATCCTCGCACAAAACAAGCATGACAATCAGGCTCAATCATGTAGATATTGCGGAAGATCTAGTACATGATACTGCAAAATTTAGCCAAAGATATCACCAGAGCGGAGGGAGAAAGCAATGCTAAAGAAAGCAATACTCTGCCTCATTATGGCGAAATGGGAGGAAGAAAGTAAGACTCTGACTCAATCTGGCGAAAAGTAACATCATGTAGATGATGGAACAACTTGACTATGAGTGAAGCGGCAGTGAAGAATTCCAACAATTGTCCATACAAAAGAAAGCGAACGAGAAGAGCCATACATCGATGGTCCTTCCCACAAGGGAATGCAGAAACGAGAACTGATGATGAAGAGATCTGATAGGGTTGGATTTGATACTGCCAGAAATGCATGATTGTTGAACGATGGACCCAATCTGCTGAGGATGATGACATACGCGGACCCAATCTGCTGAGGATGATGACATACGCGCGATTTAGAACCACTCCATGAGAAAGGGTAACTTTGGTGCCCAATAAACGGAGTAATGAGACGACCTGCATGATGCATCATGAAATGAAATGAAACGTAAGGTCATGTAATTAAATGTAATGCCATCAAGCGTTATGAACGTAATGATGAAGATAATCGTAAATGCAAAATGACATCAAACGTTATGAACATTATAATGAAGGTGCTGAGCAACACCAACGAAAACTGTTATGATCGGTGCTGAGCAACACCAATGAATGCGCAAAAACTGTTATGATCGGTGCTGAGCAACACCAATGAATGAGCATAAACTGTTACGAACGGTGCTGAGCAACACCAACGAAAACTGCCACGAATGATGGTGCTGAGCAACACCAACGAAAACTGCAACGAATGGTGCTGAGCAACACCAACAAAAACTGCCACGAATGGTGCTGAGCAACACCAACGAAAACTGCCACGAATGGTGCTGAGCAACACCAACGAAAACTGCCACGAATGGTGCTGAGCAACACCAACGAAAACTGCCACGAATCGTGCTGAACAACACCAACAAAAACTGTTACAAATCGTGCTGAACAACACCAACAAAAACTGTTACGAATAAAAGAAATGTGAACTAACAATTTGATGTATGACATTGATACAGGCAACATGGCCGCTGTTCCTCCTTTCTTCACTGTACACGACAACATGGTCATCTGTGGCATTGACAATGTCACCCTCTTCCAAGGACGCACACAAGCCGAGAGAATTGCTTACAAAATATTCTCGGACGATTTCACCACAACGATGGACAGCACCATTGACGAACTAAACAAAGAGTTCAAGACCCTTGCAGGATTGACAATTGCGCAAGGACAGATACGCTTGATGCCAGCTATCAAAAAGAACATCCTCGCATTCATCCAATGGTGCAGAGACGAGATTTGAATGGGACGAGACCCTACCACACTGTTACGAGTTGTGCTGCACAACACTGACAAAAACTGTCATGAATAACGCCAAGCGCTGCACCAATACAGACAAAAACTGCAGGTGCCGCAACACAAAATGGATCAATGAAAAAGAGTGACATTTTCAACGCAAACCGAGAGAATCGCTTATTTAACACACCATCAACGAGCTATGCTATGTTAGCGAAAAGACTACAATGAACTGGTCCATATTTGAACGTATGGCTGCTGAAGAAATCATACGCAGCATACGACAAACATGAGGGGAGAGAAGCCCATTCAGAGGCGAGAAAAGTCCATCCAGACGCAATGAAACTATGCAATGAAACTAAAGACCAAGGTTACCGCCTCATTCCTACAACTGAACAACACAGCGATGGATACGGAAATTGGCCAATGACCGACAGCACCAAACCCAGACCGCAACAGCACCAGCAATGCAACTTGATCCGGTAGCAACACCACACACACACTCACAACGGCAACACTGGCGACACCAACCGCAGCACCGACAACTGGATGGCAGAAAGATCTACAGACATGTCATGAGACGCAGCCTACACTTCAAACTTGAACTGAGACAAGATTGGCAACTGCAAATTCCAAACCAGGAAGAGAAACAACGACTCGTGTTTGAACAAAAGAAGCACCAGCCAATGGAAGAAGAAGAAATTGACTTCTCAGATGGTCAACATGGACCACTATTCAACAATAATGCCAAAAGCGATGTTGCAAACATGAAGCTGAATCGGGATTTACAGTGGCGAGATCTCGCATTGCAAGTGACAGAAAATATAATGGAAAATATGGCGGAGAACGAAGAACCAAAGAACTTCCAAGAAGCATGGAATCACCCAGACGAATATTAATGCAGGAAATGGCGAGAAGCAATCGTTGAAGAGTTTCATGATATGACACGATGTGCGGCGTTTAGCGCAAAATGAAACAATGAGATTTACCAACTGGAAGAAGATGCACCAAAAGCAAACGGGTATTAAAGATAAAATGAAATGGGGCGTTCCGAGCAAGACTGGTTGCATGAAGATACCCACAGATACCTGGAGTCGATTCCACGGAACATTTTGCTCCAGTTATTGAAAGCAAAACAAAGAGCAGATGGCGCGAAAAACAACTGATGAATCCACGATCCTTGATACAAAAACAGGAGACATCAGTTGGGGGGAGGATGAGATGATGCCACAATTGATGTTTGAATGAGATGACGCCACAATCGATGTTTGATCCTTGATACAAAAACAGGAGACATCAGTTGGGGGGAGGATGAGATGACGCCACAATTGATGTTTGAATGAGATGACGCCACAATCGATGTTTGATCTTGACTTGGAAGACACAGAATCCAAATGCAGCTTCAACAAGTTGATCGAGGCTGAGGACGTTGATTACAGCATGTTCCAGGGTCGATGATGGCATGACTGCTCCAGGGGACTACGGAAGCTGACGACATAAACGCACAAAAATTACGGCATGTTCCAGGGTCGATGATGGCATGACTGCTCCAGGGGACTACGGAAGCTGACGACATAAACGCAAAAAATTACGTCAACATGGAGATTGGTTTAAGAAGAGGCCAGGCAGACTATGCGATAGGAAAGGGCATCCAAGCGAACCTGCTTTTGACCTTGGTCTAGATTCCTTGGGAAAGTCAAATCGAACTACTAGGAACTTACACACAAGTATTGGATACGTATCCCAAAATTGATCAAAGAAGCCATCAAAATTGACAAAGAGAATTGGGACACATTAGCGCAGGACGCGACTCAAATGGAAATGAAGAACAATACTAGTAATGATAGCAACACTAAACGGAGTGGACTTGCAATGTGCAGATATCCAGAACGCTTTCCTCACTGCACCAGCAATTGAGAGGTACTA